TAATATGCATATATATATATATATATATATATATATATATATATATATATATATATATATATATATATATATATATATATATATATATATATATACATATATATATATATATATATATATATATATATGTATATATATATATATATATATATATATATATATATATATATATATATATATATATATATATATATATATATATATATATATAAAAGCCCGCCCAGATTATTTGTAAAAGCCGGGTCCAAAAATTTAATGTATGCCATATCTTACTTTAGGACTTTAAATGATAAATACCAAATAAATTAGTATCGTTATTTTTTTTTTACTTTCATAGAAAACCAAAAATCACATTTAATTAATTTTGGTTTTTAAAAACAAACTATTGTAAAATTAAGTCTTAATATAAAACACATTTTCTTGGCATTCTTAGCGGCAAAAATAACTACTTTATAAGAAATGTTTTAGGCTAAACCTGATTGAATTGAAAAGATCATCTAGTAGCACAATCGCTCCCGGTCCATTTTAAAACAAAGATAATCTTAAATGATAGCTAAATTGATAAAAGATCTTTGAAAACGGCCAGTATTTGAAAGATTCTAAGTGAAACACACGCTTGTCGAAATATTGAATGCAACCGCTTTGCATAAACTTCATTTAGATGTTCGACAGGCTTTTTGATGCCTAGAATATTTCTTCTTACGGAAAAAAATTGCAAAACTTCATCATAAACTTTTTTTTCACATAACGTTTCGCCTGATTCTCAGCTTTTAAACCTAGTTCTTTGCTTGTTTGAGATTTCTGTAAAGACCAAAGGAAGAAAAATTGTTACATTCCTCTTAGATTACTTTAAATTTTGGTCTCATATGAATTATCAACTTGTCGAATGCAGCATTGAAGACATTACACTCAAAGTTTTTTGATGCTTCTTCGTGGTTGTGACTAGCAGTTTCATCAGGGAAGACAATCTTTTTTTGTGTTCTCTTCACAGAAAACATAGTTTCATTAAATTTCAAGATATTTGCAACTTCTGTTGCCTATATCTTGTATAATTAGGTTTTCAAAACAAACGGTTTCGATCCAGATCTGTCAAAAGGCTAATTCAGAATCTTTACTACATCATCGAGAGTGAGTTGAGTGGATTGAAGCTGAAGACTCACATTGTTTACTACCATCAAACATGTAAACCAAGAAGTAGTGAAAACAAAAAATTCAAAAATTTGTTTATTTAGTTAGATATTGTACTTCATTACTACTTTCACCTAGAAGGTCTAACTCTTTTGGGCGACGTAATGATTTAAAGATCTTTTTTGCTTATGGCTTGACTGCTTCAATCCTTTAGCTCCATTGTGTAACAAAAAATTTGTTTAATGAACAGAAAATTTGTTTAATTTTTCCTTAAGAATTTTTCAACGAACTGGGCTGCAACTGAACAGATTGTATAACTTTTAAATATTTCCTATATAGGATTTTGCATAAGCCGATGATTCAATGTACAGCATATAAGTTTAAACTGTGATCAGAGCAAGGAATAAAAATTGCTTGTTGATTATTCTGCCTTATCCAAGCTTGAACTCCATTGTTAATGCATGCCATATTAGCGCCATTGTCGTAGCCTTGATCACAACAATTTTTTGTATCGAACTTAATCTCTTCAAACTCATTTGATACCAACTTTGTTATATCAGATCTTTTCTTCTTTTCAAGTAATTCTAGTTTAAAGAACCTTTCTATGACCTCCCACAGACGTTTATCACTGAAATGCAAAAGACGAAAAATAAAAGTAATGTGAGCGCTGTGGGAAAAATCGGGAGTGCTGTCCGTGATGATGGTCGAACAATTGGATATTTTGATTTCTCGAATAACTTCTAAAACCATTACACTCGATAAATTTATTTTGTGATTTTCAGGAATAAGTAATAAGCTTGCATACGCTTTTCTTCTTCTTGGTGCTTATCAAAAAGCTCCAAGAAGTTTTTCATTCCCATTTTTGAAAACTTTTTGATCGGATTCTAATTGCAAACCAAAAATTATCAAAAATAGTAATCCATATTTATATTTAATTATAACTTATCATTTTAATTTTTAAATTATAAATAAAATAAGGCAAAAAATAATTTAAAATTTAAAAACAATATTCTTACTTCTAAAAGCTAAATTTCATGAAAATTTCATCAAGAATGCATAATAAAATCACTTTCCATCGCTTTGTTTAGTCTTCAATTTTGTTTTATCTCTAAAAGAACTTTTATATGCCGTTAAATAAGAAAATAATATTTACTTTAAGCAAACAAAAGGCCAATGAAAACGCGTGCGTTCAAATTGAAACCTTCGTTCAAATTGAAACCGTGCGTTCAAATGAAAACCTTGTAAAGTAATAATTTTCTTATTTTAAATGTAAACAAAGTTTAAGAGGAGAATGAAATTATCACAAAAAGTTTGCTTAAGTATTGAATATGTTATCAGCTAAATTTTTTATCATTTCAATAACTTTTATCATTACAATGATTTTCTTAATGTGATGCTCATAGACTGTGATGCCCAGGGCAAACTACTTAAACTGCCCCTTCGTCTTAGTGGCCCTATATATATATATATATATATATATATATATATATATATATATATATATATATATATATATATATATATATATATATATATATATATATATATATAGTCTTGTAGCCCAGAAAGAGTAGGACTTATATATATATATATAAGTCCTACTCTTTCTGGGCTACAAGAGTTGATTAATAAAGTTCAAGCGCAATTCAAACATCTCTGTATCAATTTAAACACAGAAAAAAACC